GGTTACATAGGATATTGGTTCTCGTAGGCTTGGATAGAACGTAGATCCATTTGTTGTTGTTGATTTTATGCCAGAGTTCGGTATCTGCATAGATATGTTTAACCTGGCAATTCTTAGGGATGTGATTTACTTCTTTAAAGAACAGCTGAATTTCGCAGATTGGGTGATCGATGCGTTTGGAAATCGTAACTTGATCGCATAACCATTGGTTTGGAAGGTACTCTTGGCATTTTTGCAGGTTATTCAGTGATGAAAATACTGTTCTTGTTACGGATAGTAGGATATAAGGTTTAGAAGGTTCGATATAGGAAAAGAGGTAGGGATCGCTTTGATGTGGCGTAAATAGCGGATACAAACCGTAAAGATCATATAGTAGCGAGTTTACGATTGGTATCTCGAAAGCTATTACTAGTAATTCATTCTTTATAAAAGCCTTTATTTTCATGAGTTTGAAGTAGACGAGTGCATTTTCCAAAGTAGGTTCTAAAGGTAAATTATGCCTAATACTAATTGTTTTTAATTCTGAACGTAAATCTTCAGGATTAAGTATATGATAACTTATAATACCCTTATTTACTAAGCTTAATCCATCTATATATTTACCTAAGATATTTTGGACTTCGTCAGTCATTTCAACTAAAGTGATTATATGTTGGCTTATCTGGTTCTCTAGTTGAAGCTTTTCTTCAAAAGAATTAGTTTGGGATATAAACTCGTCAAATTTCATTATATTTTCGTTTAATGTTTTTGTATTTTGATTTAAGATTTGTAGTGAATTGTTAAAATTTGAGATAGTAGATTGTACGATTCTAACTTGTTGTTGCATTAAAAGTTCTGTTTGCTTTTGATTACCTATCAAGCTTTTGATAGAATCCGTATAAAACTGTGCATCTTCGGCATCGGGAGTTCCGAATAACCATTTGAAAGCATCGCCGATACCATCGACGAGACCACGCTTTTTTCGATTTCCTATTACCTGATGGGCTATTATATTGTAATCATTTTTAATGAATTTAAGTTTTGTATTAATATATTGTAATTGATTTTGGCAATGAAAATCGATATGTTTTGAGGTTAGTTTATTACAAATTCCGAGAGACTTATAATAGAGCATGTTAATGGTTTGAATATGATTGTCTATATGCGATACGTTAACGAATGTCAATAAGGTAAATTTTTGATTAGTAACTTTAGCTTTGCCTAGGTGATTGTAAAATATTCCACTCGAGCTATTTATTGCTGTGATAGTGTATGATTGAGAGAAGTGGAAGAGAAAAGGAATAATGATAGTGTGGATAATGGCTTTCATCTTCGTGATTTTAGTTCTTCTTTTCTGAAACATAAGGTTTCAAAAGGTTAAAGTGATATGTTTTTGACTTGTTTTTAGTTATTTTAATTGATGCAGTATTATTTTTATGCACTTGAATGATTTTATAAGGCCCTTTATAATCCTTACAGAGTTTTTTATTAGTGTTTTTTGCGAAAGAGTTATATACGAGAACTAAGTCATTTTCTTTAAAATTGTATTGTTTTTTATGAGTTTTATCATAATTTTGCTTTGATTTCTCTTTATTTGCTAACTGATTTTCTTTTGCTACTTCTCTTATTTTCTGTAACTTTTATTTCTTGAGCTAAATCTGAATAATTAGGTTTTTGTTTAGGATGATTTAATGTATTGGGGATTCTAGGGGTTTGACCAAAGACTAATTCATATGGTGTTTTACTGGTTGATTTATGGATGTGAGTGTTATAAGAGTATACAGCTAAATTTAGATATTGGTCCCAATCATTTTGATCCTTGTTTACATAACATTTGAAATAGTCCTTAAGGGTCAGGTGTGTTCGCTCTAATGAACCATTAGTTTGTGGGTGATATGGACTTGTTAATTTTTGTTTTACAGAGATTAACTTATTGAATTCCTTGAAGGTGTTGGAAGTAAACTCTTTACCCTGATCGGATAATATGCTATCTGGAAAACCGAATTGTGTGCAGAATTTTAGAAAGTGAACGGCTACGATGTTAGCATTATGCTCGGGCATAGCGAATGCTTGTATGAATTTTGTAAGATCATCTTGAAGGGTTAAAATAAATCTGTTGCCGTTCTCGGTTCCTGGCAAAGGTCCTACTATGTCCATCGCCAGTTGCTCACAAAATTTGCTAGATGTTGTGGTGATCAGCATCGGAGTATTGTTCGGTTTAAAATTTGTTTTAGCTTCTTGGAAAATTTGGCATTTTCGGATGTAATCCGCGATGTACGCTTTCATGTGGTACCGCTCCTTGATGTTTTCGTAAGTCCGTTGAAAGCCTTGATGTCCTGATATGGGATGATCATGATTTTCGATTAAAACTAACTCCATTTCCTCTGGGGTTTGAATGTAGAGTCTTTCATTGTTTAAGATTTTATAATCGTAATGTTCGAATATATAATGTAAAAGACTTTCTAACGTGTTTGGTTGTAGTAAGGGATTTTGAATACTCAGGTTGATGATTGTGAATGATTTTGTTTTATTAAAATCGAGGACGATTTTTAAGTTAATTAGAGTATCAAATACTGTTTGGTAGTTTGCAGAATCCATGGTGAATTGCTTAATGTATATTAGGTAAATAGTTTGGGCTGGTAGTCTAAGCGTTCTTACTTCTCCAACATTTTTGCTTGTGAGATCTGTGGTTGGAAAATTTTGCCTTACGTAGTCGTAATGAAGGTTTCCGCTGAGTGCGTCGCATGCGAAGGGAATGACTAAATTCATGATTTTCGTTTTTTCCGTTTTATCCATCGGAGGAGTTGGTATTTCGAGGTTCTTTTGATGATAAGTCTTGAAATCTTCAAAGTTTAATTTGTTGTCATGATTAATTTGATTAATTGGTCGACTAAGGAAATCAGCGTTAGTGTTGGATTTTCCTGGTTTATAGTGAATTTCGTAATCATATTCCAGAAGTTTGAGGCGCCAACGTACCAACCGGCTCGAAGGGTCCTTGCAGTTCATTAACCACATTAGCGGCTTATGATCTGAGCAGATGGTAAACTTCTGTCCGAAAAGATAGGGTCGGAAATGTTTAACAATCGCCAGAAGTTCCTTCTCGGTGGTCGAATAGTTTTGTTCCGCCTTGTTCAGAGTTCTGGAATAGTACGAGATCGGAAGATCCGCTCCTATTTTTCCTTGAGATAATACGGCTCCGATGGCTTCATTTGATGCATCGGTCGTCAGAATAAACGGTTTCTGGAAATCCGGATATTGGAGAATCGGTTCCTTGGTGAGTATATTCTTGAGAGTGTTGAATGACGATTCGCATTCTTCTGACCATTGAAATTTAGCATCCTTTTTTAGCAATGTTGTTAGAGGTTTAGCGATTTTTAAAAAATTCGGAATAAATTTACGGTAATACCTAGGAAAGATTTTATGTCCTTGGGGTTTTTTAATTTCCTGATTCCTTGAATCGCTTTTACCTTTTCCGGATTGGGTTCAACTCCTTTGTCGGATATGATGTGTCCTAAATAGGCGACTTCTTTTCGAAGGAATTCGCATTTGTCCGGTTGTAATTTTAAATTGTGCTCTTCGAGGCGTCGAAAGACTTCTATTAATTTGTTGTTATGATCTTGGAGTGATTTTCCGTAAATGACGATGTCATCCAGATACAAAAAACATTTTACGCCTTGTAGTCCGGTAAGGACGTTGTTCATCAGCCTTTGGAAGGTCGCCGGAGCATTTTTCAATCCAAAGGGCATCCTGTTATATTCATAGTGACCTAGAGGAGTTGTAAAGGCTGTCTTTTGTTTTTCTTGTTCGGCCATTTTGATTTGGTGGAACCCGGAAGTCAAGTCCAACGTAGTAAAATATTTCGATTGTCCTAGTTGGTCTAGTATGCTCTCGATCATAGGTAATGGATATGCGTCTCCGATGGTGACCTCGTTTAATTTCCTGTAGTCCACCACAATTCTCCACTTTTTTTTTCCCGAAGCGTCGGCTTTTTTAGGAACGACCCAGACTGGAGAGGACCACGGTGACGTAGAGGGTTGGATTATGTTCTGTTCCAGCATTTTGTTTATTTGCTTATTGACTTCCGCTTCATGAACCTTGGGATACCTATAAGTTTTTGTGAAGATTGGACCTGTGTTAGTGACCGGTATTTCGTGTTGGATGGCTGTTGTGAAGGACAGTTGATCACCCGGAAGATAGAATATGTGATTAAAGTTCTTGCAGATTTGTTGTAAAGAACTTCTTTCTTCTTTGTTGAGGTGATCCAGCCTTAGATTTTCATTAAGGAGTGCAAGCCGATTCTGGTTCTCTTGGCCTCGTTGAAATTTGGAAGTGGTAGACAGAGCATCCCCTTTTATACAAAAAATCTTATCTAGCGTAGTGGGGGTAGCAATTACTGTCTATAATGATTTATTATATAATCTACCCTTATTTTAGAGTATACAACAATATATTTTACTTCATGCAGTAACATGTTTATCGGTCTGAATTCTTCTATTCTTGTAGTTCTACTGACTTTTCATATTGGCACTACTGTTGAACATTTCATTTTGTGTGGTACTACTCGTATTTCTAATGAGTAATTTATTATATTTAATAAAGTATAACCAACTTGTTCAAATACAGTTTTTATGGTTTGTATTTCAGTATCGTCAGGGCTACTTTTATTTTGTATGGAAAATATTATTTCTCTTGGTTCTACTACACGTGATAAGAGCGGCAAATTTCAAATTTGTGAGAGCAAATAGTAATTTATTATATTTAATAAAGTATAACCAACTTGTTCAAATACATTTTTTATGGTTTGTATTTCAGTATCGTCAGGGCTACTTTTATTTTGTNGCTTCGTGGTAAGTATTCCTTTCAAGGATAACATATCAAAATTAGGTAACTCAAGAAATTTAGCTTATAAAAGATTAACAACGATGGAACGCAAATTTAGTAAAAATCTGGACTTAAAAATAGAATACATCAAATTTATGGACGAATACGAAGCACTGGGACATATGACTGAAATTAAGGAAACTAAAGGAATTCATGACATACCGCACTTTTACTTACATCACCATCCTGTTAAAAAGGAACCTAGTACCACAACAAAACTACGTGTAGTGTTCGACGGCTCCGCGAACTCATCATCAGGCTTATCTTTGAATAACATTCAACATGCACCTGCACCTGTACAAGTGGTACTTTTTTCTGTTTTATTATATATATATACACGCAAATTTTAGTAAGAAAGGAAGATCGTCCAATGCAACGAACATTACGGCGAGTAAGTGACGAATTACCTGTAAAAATCTACGAACTAAATACAGTCAGATATGGAACAGCATCTGCAACCTTTCTGGCAACTCAGTGTTTAAACGAACTTGACAAGCAATGTAAAGTCCACTATCCAAAAGCAAGCATAGCTACCAATTCGATATTACATGATTTTTTTGTTGACGATCTTCTCACAGGAGCTGGAACTATTGAGGATGCCAAACAATTAAAAAACGAACTCAAAACAATTCTTAGAACAGCAGGATTTCAACTTGTAAATGGGCATCAAATGAGCCACGTATTATTCATGAAAAATTGCACAATAACATCGTTTCAATTCCGCAATTTGAACCCTGGAGATATGGTACTGGTACGTGAGGATAACACGCCGCCGATGCAGTGGCCTCTGACGTATTGTTAATAATCATATGGGAAGTGATATTGTGACTTGTGTAGTGTCAGTGCGCGTAGCAAAAGGAACAATTAAAAGACCTGTATCAAAAATATACATTTTACCAAGTAAGAAAAATACAGACTGAATATATATGATAAAGATAATATAGTAAAAAATTTTCTATCGGACAATTAGTGAATAAGCTAGTATTATAGTAATGAGAATAAATAAAACTGAAAAAAAATTGTGTAACATATTATATTGTGTAAATATGGGTGAAATAATTTTGTAGTGTCTAAGATTATTGTATAACACGGGTGTATTATATTAATTTTAAGAATACTGGGGATAATTTTAACTATTTAAGGAGTATTAAATTGTGTATTGATGTAAATATTTACAGTTGGGATATAATTTATTATGTTGAAAGATACTCTTTCAAGGCGGGCGGGATGTTGAGGTCTTTACTTGGAAAGAGAAATCTTAAAAATTGTAAAGAAATTATTCATGGCTTGGTCGCCGAAACAACTTCGCTATTAATAATCTTACTTGCATAGGTGTGTGCAAAGGTAGTATTTTCCATAAAAATAACAATGAAATACAATATTTCATCTCTTCTATTCTAGTTTCATTTGATTCTAAACATATAATATTTATGTAAAAAATTTTTTTCATTATTGCAGATTTCTTTACTGCTATAGACAAAAAATTGTCTGAAAGTGATTTTGGTACAATTGTTGGAGCATGGTTCAGGTTTTCTAAGCAGAGATTCCAGAGAGAGAATGCTAAAAATAATAATAATAACAGTGAAGAAAATGATAACAAAAATGAAGAAAATTTCCAAGAAGATAAGAGTGATGATNCAAAAACCACGTGTTTTTCCTAAAAGAAAAAAAATATTCGCGAATAAAAAAAAGTCTTCGTGATATTGTCTGAGAGGGTAAGAATAAAATAAATTTTGAATGCATGAAAATTATCGTACAATCTGCGTACGATAATAATATGATATCGTACATCGTACGTAGACATAAAATTATCGTATGTGTTCGATAATTATCGTACGGTTCCGAACACTGCATCGAACGCGGTTTTCACTTCTGGTGTCCATGCCAGCGGTGTCTTGCCCTTGACGTCGCCTTTCAGAAGCTCGTTGATTCAGATCTTCATGTTGGGCGCTAGTCTTCTATCGTCAATCTAGCTCTCGGGGTGTGTGTGTGAGCATGAGTTCGGATACGTCGTGCAGTAAAAGAAAAGAAAGTATGCAGGTGTCGTTATATACGTATATATTTACAGTATTTACATATATTTAGAGAGAGAAAAGAATACGATATATATACACGTAAAGAAAACTATAATTTTCTTTATTTTAAATATTCCCGCGTGTCAAGTGTCATCGTAACAGAACGCCATATTTTTTCATAACCTATAACTTGGGATGTTGGCACTACTCGGGCACGATGTACGTCTGTCATTCCGGGCTTCCGATGAACAGTGTGCGATCGGCCGGCGCTCCGAGTAGCGGCTGGTAATTCCACTCAAGGGCCCTGAAGAGTTCTGCTGGGTCCTGTAAAGACTACCAGAAATCATTATCATTATCGCACAAGCAAACATTGATAGCGCCCTCGTATATATATATCCCCTGGTTTTTCTTTTAGTTAGTAAGATTTATTATTAGCCTAATAAAGATTCTTCTATTACGATTTAAAGTGAATACTTTTATTTACTGGGTGTTCTATAGAAATTACTTTGCTAAATAATTAAATTTGTATAAACAGTGAATTAGACTGAACGGGTAGTGTCACCAACTTTTTACATTATTTAATATTAGTTTAAAGTCGTGTGTTAGAACGATTCATACGAAAAACCAAAAAAATCGAGGTACGTCCGAAACAAAATCAAATCCTACATTTCGAGACGTAACAGTCCATACCACGGTGGGGTTTGTTAGTCGGAGTGGTGGCGGGTCTCGGCGCGGAGGACACCAGCACGGGATAAAGCGCGGCGGCCAGCCGTACCTTGCGTCCGGGGCACGCTTTCCCCGTTTCATTTGGATTCAAGGGTAGAAATGGACACTTGATGTTAGATTTTGGTTGCAGTTTGAAACTGGAAGACTCAATGCGGCTGCCGAGCGCTATTGGGGTTGGGAGAGGATGCTGCTGCTGAGCGCCATCGACTGCCTTCTGCAGGACCCGTAGCTTAATTTATTTCGACCACGACAGAAAAAAAACAGAAAATTAGAAAAATCGAACAATTATTAGAGAAATATTTTTTAACAGCATCCGAGGATGGTCGGTCATACCATAAATCGTAAGTAGTTTTTAAGATAATAATATGATATCCTACATCGTACGTAGACATGAAATTATCGTATGTGTACGATAATATAATTATCCTACGGTTCCGAACAGTGGGCTCGGCGCTCGGCAAGTCGCGAGCGGGCATGCGAGACAGAAACGGACACCGCCGAATTAACATCATCGATGACGAGACGAAAATGTTTAAATCGGCAGCGGCGCGCGGATATGCGAACAAGTAGTGACATGAAGGCAACGGATGCATATAATTTTCGACAAACCGGAGAAATTATTGTGGCCACGGGAGGTCTTTATTATTACCGGAGTCTCCCGAGCGATCCGGAAGGGTTGGGAACTCTAATAAGTACGTATAGTGGCATCTGATATTGCGTCGCGTCTTCTGTATTTTATGTGAAGAATAAATATTTTTATTCTGTATTAATTTATTTACCAAATAGATCTGTAAATTAAATTTATTTTTAAAATAACTAAAAAAATGGTTCAATATTGTTTCATCTGTAATAAAACTTATGTAAATGATGTTGTTGGTTATATTGCCAGATTCGTAGCAAAGAAAGTTGTTAGAAAAATTAAATGCACGAATTGTGAGAAAATATTGGTCACTAACGAATCACAAAGTTGTCTACAAAAAATTAAGGATAGAGGTAAATTAATATCAGCTTCATCAGAAGTCTTAGAAATATGTACAATAGCTGAACTAAGAGAAACATATATTTTTAAAGAAAATAACGTAATAGATGTTTTAATTGCTACGACTGTTTTTAAAATACCGTCTTGGTTATTGAAAAATTGCGAAAACTGTTTACACCACAGTCAAAAA